AGTCATAATAATGAGACATAAGGAGAAACATAAACATTCCCAAATGTAGAGAGTTAGGCCCACATACCTTAACTTCCTGCTCCTGAGCGTAATACAATGTTTGTCAACCCTTTTAGCTTTAATCTATAGTAATACAAGTCAAAGGGATTCCATATTAGCTATGATACTCATATTTTGGTCACTTAAGCATTTTATCAAATACTTGGTGAGAATAAAGCTTCATACTCTTTATTAATGGTGTTTCTACACCCAATAACCCATTAATGGTGTTTCTAAAGTCTCGAATAGTTATAATCAACATCATTCTTTATCACCCATAAGGTAAACAATACCCTTAACCAATAATCAACAATAAACAACCCAAACCTATAGCCATGCTATTCTATCAAACTCGTCAACTCATATCTCAATGAACTAGAGTCTATAATCATTAATCCAATGCTAGAATCAATTATAGGGTGAAGACATTACCTTTTTGAAGTTCAATCCCTTGGATTCTAGTTTTAAGGTTCCTCCTCTCAACAATGATGTCCTAATCGAATATCTAATTATATGGAGGGTTTACCCATGTTAATAAGATGTTGGAAAGTTGAAATTAACTTAGAATCGCTATTAGAACTTACCTTGGATGGTGGTGGGACCTTTAAGGAGTTAGGTTATTGAGAGCTTCCCTTTCTAGAGCAAGTGTTTGTGTTTTGGGGTTGTGGGGGACAAAGTAGGGCTTTAAAATGCCCCCCAAGTGCTCCCCCTCGTGCACCTGAAGGCCTGACCGCGCACCTGACCGCACAAAATTGCAGTAGCACTGCTACAAGTGCGCGGCCACGCACGTGACCCTCCGAGCGCACACCTGGACGCGCATATTTTGCACTATTCTGTAAAACGCACATAACTTTTTGCACAGAGATCCATTTGGTCTCCACAATATATAGTTGGAAATCTATTTCAATGGCCTACAACTTTCATGTTTTGAGTTTTCCCAAATATTTTACACATTTCACTAAATCCTGCTGCAAGACAGACCTTTTGTAAACTTAATAGATTTTATCGAATCTTATACACCTTACTCTTCGTCTTGATTCTAAAATAACTATTTCCACCCATGCTCATACCAATAGAACTTCACATGTCCAAGATATAACATTACTACTCATTTAACACATTCATACCTAAGCCGAATTTACGGGGTGTTACATGAACTCTACAACCAAGAAGAAATACATAAAACAGAATTTATTGCGAGTTGAAAATACATAAAGCAGAACTTATTGCGAGTTGAACTCAAAACCCATGCTAACTAAGCTGGTGCTTTAACCGACTGAGCTACGAGTGCTTGTTGCTCTCTTCTTTCAGTTTAAATCAATTAATCTCTTATTTCATGGATTTGCTGTAAAATTCAAATATAGCTACGAATGATAAATTTGTTGAAAGTATATCAACGAATGATAAATACAGGGTATATATTTGATGTGTCGCTTAGTTTTCCCTTCAAATTAATAGCACCCACATTGTTAGTCAATATCTTGCGGATAAAAATTTATATGTACTGTATGTTTACATCAATTTAATGAATATAAGATTTGCACATATTTTTATATATATGATTATCACTAAACTATAGTTAATTAAAATATTCTCACTCTAATTTATTATTTAATCATGGTAGTATGCAATCATTAGTAAAAGCCATTAGGGTGATCCATTATACATCTTCCAAAAGGTTCTAACTCGTTCACATTGAGTGTTGTTAAAGTGACACCATTATGTGAATATATTTTAGAGTGCACTAACGTATCATTTTACCAACTATATTATCTGGCATTATTGAGATTATTGATTATTTTTAAATACAAAAAGTTCTCTATAGCCTCTAGGGGTTTAATATATGTGTTTGATTTTTATATCAAATTATATTAATTTATCATGATTAAGTGGTAAATTGGGTTATGAATGTGTATTAATTGATTATCGTTTAGTGATAACATATGTAAAGACAAGCATTATACATTCATTAGATTATAAAATCTGATACTATTAAGTTTTTTTGTCGTGTTTACACGGTCACATTTCAATGTACAAATAGTGTAAAAAATGCTCACTATCTTTTGAAGTTTTCTATTACAATGACAATTATTTTGTTTGGTTTCTTTTTAAGGAAAAGTACAGAAATAGACAATTCAAACACAAACTTACCAACCTCGAGCCCAAAATTACACACTTACCAAAAGTATCCCAAAATTAGAGATACGCGCAAGGAAGGATTCTTCCATCCAAGAATCACGCTAAAGATCTTCCTTCCTTTCCCGTTTTTCAAGCGTATCAATTTAACAGATCACGATATTTTCTCCCTCTGTATATCACGACATTATCTCCCAAAAAATTCTCCAAAAGAGCTCCAAATTTCACTCAAAATCGATCAATACATCTTTCGCGGTTCTGTGTAGAAGGAACTGCGCACTACAATCAAAATCAATCAAGGAATTAATGATGTTTGACCTAATTTCAGCTACTTCAATGGCAAATTTACCAATTTTTATCCGGTATGGTGGCTGATGGAATGTTGACAACAACTTTGTAGATCACAATGCAGATGTTGTAATAGTTACTCCAAATATAAGTTTTGAAGATTTTGTAGACATAATTTCGAAACAACTTATGATAGAGACTTCATTGAATGTTATTGAAATCAAATACACTGTTCAAAATAGTTCTCTACCAATAGTGATACACAATAGTATGGGTGTATGTGTATATCTTGAGCTAAAAAAAAGCTCGGAATTTACAATGTATCCCGTTTCTATAACATTGAGTGAAAGGGATATGGACATAATCTGCTACAATTCAAATTCTACTATGATTTCCTCAGAATGTGGACAAAGCTCAATTAGAGAGGAGAGATACAATGGCGATACAATTAATATTATCGAGTTTGGGGATGGAGAAGACTGGCAGGATTAGGGGTGTTCGTCGATCGGTACGGTATAGTATTTAGACATTTCGGTTCGGTATTTTCGGTATTCGGTTTCTTAAAATCCTATACCAATACCGTACCTAATTAAATTCGGTATGGTTCACTTTTTCTCCTTCCGGTTTTGGTTTATTCGGTTCGGTAACTTCGATTTATTCAGTTTGAATATTAACTAGTGCATAGAGCGATAGACTCTAATACTCTTTGTTAAAGTACTCAAAAATACAAAACTGGAAATGTTTGTTGACAAAATTTTTGTCCTAAACTAGCAAATATCGATCCAAATAGAGAAAATTGTACATAAAAGAATATTTGATCATTAGAAATATCTTGTTACTTGTTTAGAGTTAATTGATGAACTTAGAAAATAAAGGAAAGTAAAATTTTAGATTTTTTATATTTATATTATAATTGATAATATATATGTTTTATATAATATAATATATATTTCGTTACGGTATCGGTATTTCGGTATTTTATTTTAAAATACCAAATACCATACCTAATACCAATTTTTTTAAAACTTAAACCAAATACCATACCAAATGCCAAAATACCGTATACCAAATACCAAAATTTTCAGTTTCGGTATGGTAATTCGGTATTTACCAAATTATGCACAACTCTAGACAGGATACATAATCTGATGAAAATACAATATTAACTGACCCTCAATACATAGATGTAGAAGAAGGTCAAATTTATAAAGACAAGGCTACGATAGTCAAAGTCTTGAAGCACTTGGCAGTAAAGGAAAATTTTCAGTTTAAGGTGCATAGATCAAGTGAAAGCATGTATCAAAATATTTACTGTATAATTATGTATCTCAATGTATATAATAGTGGATGTTAGAAGCATAATTATGCAGAAAATTAGTTGCTGCTTGTAAGTCTGTGGCTGTACACTTTTAAGTTGTGGTTGTCACCATCTAGTACTGTATAGTCATTGTATTTTTTCATCTGGTATTGTTGATGGCAGTGTGTATCACTATATATCATTGTATTTCATGTCGTGCTATTTATTAATGGAAAAGTTTATATCTTTGTCGCAGGTACTGCCTAGTATGCATCAACAACAACTGTGATTGGTATTTTAAGTCTTCGAGCCTGAAAAAAGCAAAACTTTTCAAGGTCAGAAATTTCAGCAAACTGCACTCATGCCCGCTGAAAGACAGATCTTACGTACAACGTCAAGCTACTGCAAAACTCATCGGCAGTCTTCTGATAGACAAATATAAAGACCCCAAAATAATATACACTCCTAGTGACATAATTGGAGACATGAACAAGCAGTATGGTCTTCAAATGACATATATGAAATCATGGAGATCGAAAGAATATGCAATTCAACTACTGAGAGGGAACCCGAGCGAATCATATGAAAAGCTGCCAAGCTACTTTTATACGCTGGTTCTTACAAATCTTATGTTGGTAGTAAGTTTGAAAAAACAGAGGAAGACCTGTTCATGTATGCTTTTATTGCACTATATCCGTCTATAAAAGGATGGTAGTATTGCAAATTGGTTGTTGTTGTAGATGGAACCTTTCTCAAATTGACATACAGAGAAACATTATTGATAACATCCACACAAGATCCAGCAAGTAAGCATAAGCATATATATATATATATATATATATATATATATATATATATATGTGTGTGTGTGTGTGTGTGTGTGTATATGTATATATTATTCATGTATATACTCACACATGTTTATATGATTCAATTTATTAGGTAGTATCCTACCACTCGCATATGCCATAGTAGATTCAGAGAATAATGCTTCCTGGGACTGTTTTTTCGCGAGGTTCAAGGATGCATTTGGGGAAAGGGAGGGAATGTGCATAGTCTTGGACAAGAATGAAGGCATTAAAAATGCAGTGGCAACATTGTATCCACAAGTACCTCACTGTGTCTTCATATTGCACCTATGGAATAATGTAAAAAAAATTACAACAAGAACCATTTGCAGCTCAAAGACATATTCTTTTCTATAGCCAAAGCATACACAATTGAGAAGTTTGATTACCACATGGCAGAGGTAGAGAAAATTGATAAGTGGGTCAAAGATTACTTAATGAACGTTGGGTATGAAAGATGGTCCAGAGCACATTCCATTGTCAACAGAACATTGATAATGACTTCAAACATTGTGAAGTCGATTAATGCAGCACTCAAGGTTGCTAGGGAACTCCCAGTACTGCCTTTGCTGGAGTACATAAGGCAATTGATCGGACGATGGAATGTTACAAACAAAAAGAATAAAATAGAGTCATTTACTGATCTTGGGAAAAGATATGATACAATGCTGATGGACAATCTCGAATTGTCACATCGGATGAAGGTATGACTGGAATCTGTAGATACTTGTGCATATAATATGTAATCATGTCGAATTCATGGATCTGTTATATCTTGAACTCTTTGTGTGATTCTGTTAAACTAGTGTCCACATGTACAAAAGCAAAGGCTTTCAATGTACTGTAGCATCTATGTCTATCCCACTGTTGAAATATTGGTTGGTTTGACATGATATTACGCTATTTTAAATCTTGTAGGCTCTCTAGTATATGTATTTTGAGAGCATCTGTTTTGTCACCACTGATGATAGTTGATAAATTTTGTAGGTGACCCCTTTGGCGAGTTACTTATATTCAGTACTAGATAAGGGTAAGCAGAGAATGGTGTTCCTAAAAGATCGTACTTGCAGCTGTAGAAGGTTTCAGTTGGGTGAGTTGTCATGTGCACATGCTCGGGCAATATTAAAATACAAATACATTGATCATACTGAGTATTGCTCGGTGTACTACACCAGGAAGTACCTATTGAAGACCTATGAAATTCTAATTTATCTGGTTCCTGATAAAAGCACATGGAAAATTCCCGCAGAAGTTCTAGATGAAAAGGTCTTGCCACCATACGTGACTAAAAGAATAGGAAGGCCAAGGAAGGGGATGTGCAAGCCAATATCTGAAAGGGAACAAAAAATATCGATTTCATGTGGATAGTGGGGAGAAGAAGGTCACAACAGGAAACTTGTAGAAATAATCCAAAGAGAGAATGAAATATATCAAACTTAAAATTACTTGTTATTTTATTTTGCTGAATATCATAGATATTTAGAAAAATCCAATATATCAAGAACTATATCAATGCAGAATGTCATTTGAATTTTAGATATAAATAAATATTTGATCTATCATTTAAAATTGTGACGACCCGGCCAGTCATCTCATGAGTTATCGCTCTATTTTCTCCATTTCTGCTTCTTATTGCTTTGTCTATCGGTTCTAGGTATGATTGGGTTGGTTGGCTCGGGTTCGGAAAGGTTTTGGTGAGGTTTGAGACACTTAGTCTCTTTTGAGAAGCTTAAGTTGGAAAAGTCAACTGGATGTTGACTTATATGTTATAGGCTCAGATGTGAGTTCCGAGGGTTTGTATAGCTTCGGGAGGTGATTTGAGACTTAGGAGCGTGATCGACATGTGTTTTGGAGGTCCAGAGTAGATTTAGGCTTGAATTAGCGAAATTGAAATTTTGGCGTATTCCGATTGATAGGTGAGATTTAGATAGTGTTAGAATGAAATTCTAAGAGTTGTAGTAGTTCCATTGGGTCATTTGGTATGTGTGTGCAAAATTTTAGGTCATTCGGACGTGGTTTGGAATACTTTTTGATCAAAAGCGTAATTTGGAAGATTTTGGAAGCTTAGGCTTAAATCTTGTGTGTTTTGGTTGATTCGATGTTGTTTGAAGTATTTGAAGATTGGTATAAGTTTGGGTGGTAATTTATGATGTGTTTGTACTTTTGGTTGAGGTCCTGGGGGCCTCGGGATGATTTCGGATGGTTGACGGAAGATTGAAGTTGGGTTGTGGCAACTAAAGTTTTCCCATTTGCTATCATAACCGCACCAACAGCTAGGGGACCGTAGGTGCAGTCTCGCAGAAGCGAAGTAGGAGTTGCAGAAGTGGAAAGGGCCTAGGAAGGCTGGAGCTGCAGAAGCGGCTGAGGAGCTGCACCTGCGATGGCGCAGGTGCGGGCAATGCATCGCAGATGCGGCGTTTGGGGCATAAGTCAAAAACTGCATAAGCTGTTCATTGACCGCAAAAGCGGTATCGCAGAAGCAGGGAATTGGCCACATGTGCGGAATCCCTGGGCCATAAGGTATAGAAGAAATCCTTCGCAATTTTTGAGTTGTTCTTCACATTTTCAAGTCGGTTTTGGAGCTTTTGGGGTGATTTTGAAGAGGGAATCAAGGGATATCGTCTGGAGGTAAGATTTTTGAGTCCAATAATCAATCCTATGGTATTATTTCACGGATTAGATCTGTAATTAATGGAATTTAAGGGTTAAAAATTTGGGAAACTAGGGCTTGGTATTGGAGACCTAGACTTGAGGATTTGAGGGGTCATTTGTGGTCGGATTTGGTACTTTTGATATGTATAAACTCGTGGGGAGATAAGGAATCTATTGATGTGAATTTTATCGAATTCCGAGACATGGGCCCGGGGGTCAGGTTTGGTAATTTCGGGATTTATGTCGTAAATTGATTATTTTCGCTTGGGCTTCGTTCCCTTAGCATATTTTGACGCTGTGATTCTGATTTTGGATAGATTCGACACGAGAGGAGGCCGATTCGAGGGGCAAAGGCATAGCAGGCTAGAGTTTGGATAGGATTGAGGTGAGTGATGATTTTAAATGTTGTCCCGAGGGTATGAAACCCCGGATTTCACATCATGGTGCTATATTGAGGTGACACACATGCTAGATGACGAGCGTGGGGTCGGGCACCATTGGGGATTGTGACTTAGTCCATCCTGAATGATTGTTTTATCGCGTATTTGATTGAAAACTATTTGTTATCATCATGTTTTGGGCTGAATGCCATATTTGGGCCTCGTGCCAACTATTTGGACCCTTAGGGGATTATTACTGATATTTCCCCACTATTTTGACTTTATACTTGAACTCAGTCATGCTATATTCTACTGTTTTCATAACCCAACCATGTTTACTCTGCTTTAATACTTAAAATGATATTGTAAATGACATTTTGGGCTGAGCATCATGTTTTACTGTTGCCCGAGTGGCTTGTGAGATTCTGACTGAGTAAGGCCGAGGGCCTACGATGTGAGGAAATACCTGATTATGATTATAACACCGAGGGCCTGAGATTTGTATGCCACGAGGTGGCTTATTGATATGAGGCCGAGAGCCTATGTGATTATGCCACGAGATGGCTTGATATTGCGCTTGGACCGTTAGGGGCCCCTCTAGGAGTCTGCATACCCCCAGTGAGCGCGGGTACCCATTGTGATATGAGATAGAGCCCGAGGGGCTGGTATTGTTCCATATGTTGCCCGAGGGGCTGATTCTGTTGGTATTGTGCCCGAGGGGCAGTTCTTTATGTGTTTACCTTTATTAGTTGCCTATTTTTTTACTTGCTTAACTGTTTAAAAAGGCAAATTTTAAGAAGCTTAAACTGAACTTAAGTGACTTTACATATTTTCACTGTTTCATTGCTTTTACTGGCTTTTACTGCTTCTTTATAGCCTGCTGATGTGCCTTTACGTGATTTCTTATTTCTCAGTCTGCATTTATTATTATTATACACTGAGTTGGAGTACTCACTTTACTCCCTATACCCCGTGTGCAGATTCAGGCGCTTCAGGTCCTGCTTGCGAGGGTTGAGAGCTTCCAATAGATTCGGAGTTACACTAGGTAGTTGCTCGGTGTTCCCAGCCTAGTGCTTCTCCCTCTATCTTATTTTATTTCATTTTAGTTATGTAATAGTTGAGTAAACTATTTCAGACTTGTAGTATTACTATAGATGCTCATGACTGGTGACACCCCGATGTCGGGCTATGTCTATTCCTCAACTATAGTATTCACCTTATTTTGGGATTTTATTATGTTAAAGTCTTAATATTTATAATTATAATTGCTTAAAAATGAATTGGAAGTGTGTCGACTGGCCTTGTCTTCACGAGAGGCGCCATCATGACGGGTCCAGGTTTAGGGTCGTGACAAGTTAGTGTCAGAGCTTAGGTTACATAGGTCTTACGAGTCATGAGCATGTTTAGTAGAGTCTCACGGATTGGTACGGAGACATCTCTATTTATCCTCGAGAGGCTGCAAAACCTTTAGAAAAAACTTCATATTCTTGAAATTCTTGTTGTGCGAATGTGTTGATCCGAGTACTAAACTTCTGTTATTCTATTCTCTCACAGATGGTAAGGACACGCGCTACCGGTCAGGATAGACGACCACTAGTACCACCAGCTGTGGGCACTAGAGGTAGAGGACGTGGTCATGATCGCGGTAGGGGCAAGGGTATGTCCCACATAGTAGCTAGGGCAGCACCTACAGATCCTCCACCCGCCCCAGTTCAGGATCAGGTCCTAGTTGCGGACGCTCCAGCAGCACCAACTCAGGCACTAGCTGTGCCCATTGTGATTCCGGGTCTTTAGGAGGCCTTGGCTCAGATTCTATCAATATGCATTGGCCTAGCTCAGGCGGTCTCAGTTACTACAGATGTAGCAACTTCTCAGGCCGGGGGAGGCAATCAGACTCCCGCTGCACGCATACCTAAGCAGGTCGTGCAGGGCCTTCAGATACTGAGGGCACTTCCAGCCCAGCCGATTGCAGCTGCTTAGGACTATGTAGTTCCTGCCATGCCAAAGGAAGAGCAACATAGGTTGGAGAGGTTTGGTAGACTTCAGCCTCCGACTTTTGGCGGTGAAGAGGGCGAGGATGCCTAGGGTTTCTTGGATAAGTTTCAGAGGATACTTCGTACAACGGGTATTCTGGAGACCAGCGGGGTCGCTTTCACTACTTATCAGTTTTCTGGAGCTGCCTTCACTTGGTGGAAGGCTTTTGAGAGGTGTAGGCCCATTGGTGCAGCACCCCTTACCTGGCAGTAGTTCTCCGTTCTCTTTTTGGAGAAGTATGTGCCATAGTCTCGTAGAGAGGAGCTGCGTAGGCAGTTTGAGTGGTTGCATCAGGGAGAGATGATTGTGATGCAGTATGAGATGAGGTTCTCCGAGTTAGCTCGTCATGCGATTTGGTTGGTTTCGACAGATAGAGAGAGGATTAGGAGGTTTGTTAATGGCCTCACTTATCAGCTTCGTATTCTCATGACCAGAGAGGGTGACTGGTGCTACTTTTGAGGAGGTTGTAGACATTGCTCATCAGATTGATTCATTTCATCGCCAGGAGCAAGAGGAGAGGGAGGCCAAGAGGCCTCTAGGATCTGGTAGTTATAGTGGTGCTCCTTCGAGAGATCAGTTTCAGCACGGCCGAGGCCGTCCATTTAGGCATGCTCAGCCAGCTCGCCCAGGTTATCATGGGGCGTCATCAAGTCATGGTTCTCACAGTTCTCATCAGGGCCAATCATCACTTAGTGCCCTTCCAACTCAGAGTTCGTCCCGTGCTCCATTAGTTCAAGGCTATTCTATGCCAGGTGTATCTGCTACTCATTCCGGTGCTAGGGGTTCCCTTCAATCCTCGTCTCCAGCACTCGGGAGTTGCTATGAGTGTGGAAAGATGGGTCATATGTGGAGGTAGTGTCCTCGTCATCTTGTGGGTTCATCTCAGCAAAGGAGTCAACCATCAGCTTCAGCGCCAGCTACTTCATTACCACCCACCCACCCAGCTAGGGGTGAAGATCAGTCAGCTAGGGGTCGCCTTAGAGGGAGAGGTCGATCAGGTGGCGGTCAGGCCCATTTCTATGCACTTATAGCTAGACCCATGCTATTGCTTTCGATGCTGTTATTACAGTTATTGTTTCAGTCTTCCACAGAGATGCCTTTGTATTATTTGATCGCGGTTCCACCTTTTCTTATGTGTCATCATACTTTGCTCGTTATTTGGATACGCCCCATGAGTCTCTTATTTCACATGTTCATGTATCTACTCCGATAGACGATACTGTTATTGTAGACCGTGTGTACTGGTCATGTGTGGTGACTATTGGGGGTCTGGAGACCAAAGTGGATCTTTTATTATTATGT